CCATGGCCCTCAAGGTGAGATTTGACAAAAAAGATGTGGGTTGGTCTCACTGAAAAGGGGGAATTGTTGTAGACTTTGTGGGTTATGATAATGCCATAAAACATGGGTTAATGATGGTTAGTGATGCTTGTTTTTGAGGCTTTTAAAATTTTAGATATGACTTTAAAGTTCAAACAATTAGGGGTTTACTTTCATGTGTGGTTGTTTTGAGGGGGGCCCTATTTGCCGACGCAAGCAGGTCTCCATTTGTTTTTTATGGGCTTCGACACGTAGTCAGAGGATGTCTACAGTCTGCAGTCTGCTTGAAAGAATTCGATTGGGCTTTGCTGAACCACTGGTCTGGTCTTCTCAATTTTAGACTGCTGAAGAGCCTAGAAAATCTTCAGATTCTCTGAACCTGAGAAGAAATGGGCAGAATTGCATTTGAGGGGCAGATATATCATGATATATCATTACACTCCATTGTTGGAATAGCAGTAAACAAACCAGAAGAACCAGTTCGCAACCAGGATTTTGACGATCATTTGGAGGTTTCCCAAAATAGGGGTCCCCAAGTCACCATGGGTTTCAATACTAAGCCATGGTCATCCATGACTTTGATTATTTGGGGTACCCCGATATTGAATGTGACATTCCATAATATTCCCACAATAAACATCGAGCCAATCCTTGCTGCTCTGCTCTGCAGACCGCCACCACGACAGAGTCGCCACAAAGCTCAAGTGAGGCCCTAATCGCCAGCCAATGGATGTGACCAAAAATGTCTGGGCCAATGGGGGTGTGAAAAACATTCAAAAACCAAAAGCCGCAGGTATCCAAGGAAAGTTGGGGAAAAAACGTGGATAAATGGCCGGTGAATGGGTGCATCTTTAGGCATTTTTGATGAAATGGTGCATCTTTCAGAGGGTGTATGGCGAGGTACGACAGATAACAACAACGACGACGACGACGACGACGACGACGACAACAACAACAACAATTACTTTACTTCGTGTGATCCCCACCATGACATTTATACATTTTCTTACTGGCAAATCTTCTGGCATTCTATCTGACATATCTTCTGACATTCTATTCGACATTCTATCTGGCATATCTTCTGGCATATGATCTGGCATATCTTCTGGCATATCTTCTGGCATTCTATCTGGCAAATCTTCTGGGCATATCTGGCATTCTATCTGGCATTCTATCTGGCATATCTTCTGGCATTAATTCTATCTGACGTATCTTCTGGCATATCTTCTGGCATATTTTCTGGCACTGGCATTCTATCTGGCATTCTATCTGGCATATCTTCTGGCATATGTTCTGGCATATCTTCTGGCATTCTATCTGGCAAATCTTCTGGCATTCTATCTGGCAAATCTTCTGGCATTCTATCTGGCAATCTTCTGGCATTCTATCTGGCAAATCTTCTGGCATTCTATCTGGCAAATCTTCTGGCATTCTATCTGGCAAATCTTCTGGCATTCTATCTGGCAAATCTTCTGGCATTCTATCTGGCATATCTTCTGGCATTCTATCTGACATTTCTTCTGGCATTCTATCTGGCATTCTATCTGGCATATCTTCTGGCATATATTCTGACATATCTTCTGGCATTCTATCTGGCATTCTATCTGGCATTCTATCTGTCATTCTATCTGGCATTCTATCTGGCATATCTATCTGGCATCTTCTGGCATTCTATTTGGCATTCTATTTGGCATTCTATCTGGCATATCTTCTGGAATATCTTCTGACATTCTTTCTGACATTCTTTCTAACTATCTTCTGCACATTCTTTGTCCCATATCTTCCTACATGAGGTCCGGCAGGGAACACTTGGCGTGGATACTCGCGGTTGAGGTCCGGCAGGGAACACTGGGCGTGGATGGTCGTGGTTGAGGTCCGGCAGGGAACACTGGGCGAGGATGGTCGTGGGTGAGGTCCGGCAGGGAACATTGGGCGTGGATGGTCGTGGTTGAGGTCCGGCAGGGAACACTGGGCGTGGATGGTCGTGGTTGAGGTCCGGCAGCGAACACTGTGGATCGCGAGTCGCAGTTGAGCAGGAGGACGAGGAGGACAACGAGGACGACGAGGACAACGAGAGGACGACAAGGATGACAAGGAGGACGAGGAGGACGAGGAGGACGAGGAGGAGAGGAGGAGGAGGAGAGGAGGACGAGAGGAGGACGAGGCAGGAGGAGGAGGAGGAGGCAACTGACATAAAATCTAACAACCCTCACCTGACAGGTGGGGAACAAAAAGAAGAAGAAGAAGGGATGATCATGAACAAGGTAAGCATGTCAATGATGTATGCGGCATTTGCAACAGGTGCATGAGTCTATATAAACTGGAGTACTCTCAACAGTTGGAATTTCCATGTTTTAACCACTACACATTTGAGAATGTGATGTCCCAAATTTGGTTTCAGCGTTGCTCTGCAGGAGACTAGTACGAACGATGATACCAGTACTGTTGCCTTGTAACTGGATGTAATTGGAGAGCAGTTGGAGTCAGTTTTAAGAACATTAAAAGAATTTAAAAGACACATTCCGCGACGACATGTTTTCGACCAATGGACCCCTTGAGGCTGGTGATATTTACCATGGCTTAGTCTCACCCCATTCCATCCACTGGTTTCAACTTTGGTTTTCCAATGGTTTTCCCTGTGACTATCATGACTATCATGACTATCATGACTATCATGACTATCATGACTATCAATTTGGGGTACTATCCATCCCTGTTTTTGAGCCCCACATGCGAATGTCGTTCCTCCGGTCCTCCCTGATAAAAATCCTGATTTGGGATGATGAATCTGCTTCGTTGTGATGCAGACATCATGGGAATTCGGAGCAATTTGGTCAAATCCTCCAATCAACCAATCATATACCAATCATAATCAGTCCTACTTGTTGTTGAAGCCCCAAGTTATTGGAATTTTGTGGTTTGAATATCATTTCCCGTCATATCCAAACAAGATAAACAAGATAAACAAGTTACATTACATCATGTGAAAATTCCAGTTCTTGGCTGGTTAAACCTGCGCCTGCATCTGTGCAATTGAATTCACGGTTTTGCCGGCAAAGCTGCAAGACGATCCTATACTAGACGTGTTTGACTTATCATAGTTTAGCATCATGTTTGCCTGGAAAATCATTTTTTCCAACGCAGGGTGTGCAAATTTGGGCCTCCTAAAATATGCTGACTCACTATTAGTCAACTTAGTATACCCCAATCCACATGTTCATCCGAATCCTCAGGGGTTTCCGAAAAGTCATGGGGGTGCCTCCCACAGGCTGCGGGCGCTCGACGACTCTCCAGCCTGGATGACTGGCCGGGCACTAGAAGTTGGGATCTGCCGCTGGGGTTCGGGGGCCCAGATGGCCATGACATGTCACAGATGGTGGCTGCACATGTATGGGAGGAAACTGGGAAAATGGCAGATTTCAGTGACTTTTTTCGGAATTATAGATGGGAATTGTTTTTTCCCCACCTGCCAGGTGAGGGTTGTTAGATTTTATCAGAGTTGTTCTTCTCCTCCTCGGCTAGCTGTCCTCCTCCTCCTCCTCCGCCTCCTCCTCCAGTTTCTCCTCGACACCCCGACCATGTCTGCATCAACTTCCACCTGCACTTCCGCCTTGCCAACTCTTCGCCAAGCTCTTTGCCAACTCTCTTCGCCAAGCTCTTTGCCAACTTCCCAGCTCAGTGTGCACCGCTGGACCTCAACCTGGGACCTTCCCAGCTCAGTGTGCACCGCTGGACCTCAACCTTCCCAGCTCAGTGTGCACCGCTGGACCTCAACGGCCAGATAGAATGCCAGAAGACATGCCAGATAGAATGTCAGATAGAATGCCAGACGATATGCCAGATAAAATGCCATGAGATATGCCAGATAGAATGCCAGATAGAATGCCAGATAGAATGCCAGATAGAATGCCAGAAGATATGTCAGAATATATGCCAGAAGATATGCCGGATAGAATGCCAGATAGAATGCCAGATAGAATGCCAGATAGAATGCCAGAAGATATGTCAGATAGAATGCCAGAAGATTTGCCAGTAAGAAAATCTATAAATGTCATGGTGGGGATCACACGAAGTAAAGTAATTTGTTTTTATAGGGAACATTTCCATGATATTGTAAGTGGCAGATTTTCTCATTGACCCAATTACAATGAAAAATAAAGTCTGATTCCATATAATTCCCATATAATTTCCATACAATTCCCATTGTAATTGGCAGGCAATTATGGGAATTATATGGAACTGTGATGATTTGCCCGATGACATGGGACTCTAAGCTGGTCAAGAAGGCTGTGAAACATGCTGAAAACATGGGGATGGACGTGGCAACATTCAATCTCTTTTTTTTTGCAGCAACAACGCTTGATATTATTTCACAACGTTGAAGTATTTGATATTATTTCTTTGCCAGCATTGAGGATTGTATCCCTTTGTGGTCCATGAGTGTTATGTCATGTGACAAATCGAGGAGTGTGGATCGTATTTCCATGTTGGAACCGGCATCCATACCTGGCAAAATGGTAAAAACATGGTAAAACCAATGATACACCCGATCTCATCATGGCCGGCATAGATGATACATATTACATCATATTGCCATCCAATTACATCCAATTACATCCAATTACATCCAATTACATCCAATTACCCTACCATCTGGTGATTTAACTATGGAAAATCCATTGTAAATGGAGGTTTTACATGGTTTTACTGGGAAAATAATCTATTTCTATGGGCCATGGCTTCCAGTTCGCTATGTTAAATAACCAGATGGTACTAAACGGCATTGGGTTCACCATCATATCGGCCATGCAACAGGAACCGAAAAAAAATGGAGGTACCTACCAGACAATTCTTTTTTTGTTAGGGCTACGTAAGGGAATATGCCCACAATTCAGCCTTTTTATGGTACAGTACCCCCATCTGTTGGATCCTGGAGATCTCCCATTGATCATCGGTCGAAAAATCACCAGTGGACCAGGTCGATGCTCCACATGCCCATGTTCGAGTGGCGAGATCGCGAGAGTGAACTGCGGCGGGAGCAGAAGGGCGAATCCTGTCGCATCCACGGCTACTTCGACGTCAACAGGCGACAGGATTCACTGGGTTTCACTGGGTTGGACACGCCTGGAATCTCCAAGGGCCATTTGGATGGTTGCAACATTTATTTGTTCTCCAAATTTTGATCCTATGTTTAGAAAAGAAATATACCTCTGGCATTTAGGTGCTTTGCTTCATTTGGTCTGCTTATAGTTGGGTAGCAATATGTTTTACATTCCTTGTATTTTGTATCAGTATTGACTTATTACACACACCTGTCATGGCGACCGGACTTGATTTCAAACCACAACTGGTCCTGCAAGGGGGATCAAACCAAAAGAGTCTACAAGGAGAATTGATTGATCTGATCAACACAACATAGCATATACTATCTATAGGGCTCACAAGTCGCCCTCAGATGACGGTTGGGATTGGTGAATTTAAAAAAATAGCAATGTTTTCTATTTTGGAAATCATTCTGACTTGTACTCTCTGGTAGTCAAACATGGCAATGGACAATCTACCGTTTATAGATGATATTCCCAGCTACAAACTTCCAGTTACAGGGATTTTCCAGCCATGTTTCATTACCTGAGGGTACATTCATCCACAAGTTTCTCTATTCCCCTGGTCTCAGAGGTTCAAGCCAAATGCTAAGAGGAGTAGAGCCGATATCGCCGATACCTCACCAGTAGGTTGAGGTCAGTTGAGGTCTCCAGGTGGAGTAGTGGCTATGATAATGTTGAGGTATCACCCTTGATGCTAGGTATATCATGCCAGTACATCTGGAATCATCTGGAGAACTATGTATCTACTCCCAAACATGGATGGGTAAATACTAAGATTATCTAAACTTGCGACGAATTTTGAACCAACCCTCCTTCCAGGCTGGTGTCCCGAAAAAAACAGCCCACGGCGCCATGGCCCATGCCTGCCAGGGTTCCTGGCAATTTCCACATCGGCACGCACGGTGCGATGGTGCCCTCCTACCTCTCCTTCTACGACGAACCCTCGCCACCGCAGCAGAACATGAGGCGCCTTGGAGAAGGTCACCAGGGTTTCCCTACCTGGTGGTTGGGTATGTAATGTACCAACAAATATGGCGATTTCAGAGGTTTTCATTATCGGAGAATTGGGATTTTTCGAAAATGAGACATGTGGGTAAACCTTGGTGCCAAAAAATGGGGAGAATTGTGAAGAATTGTGAACTTCCCCGCCATATGTTGGTGGTTTCAACCGTACAACACACCTGGGTAAGGGCCTCATCAGGCTGAACTTTGCCAGCGGCCAACCCTGTAAATGCCATCGGCAGTCACTATAATGCACAATATAATGAAGAACCGACATGTTTTGTGTTTGAAACTGATATGTTTCTAGTTTCGTTGCTGTTTCAATTGGATTTTGAGCCATAGCAATTCTTCATTGGCATTTCATATGGTTCCACCATGTTTCACCAGTTCTACCTGGAATTTTCTCCACTAAAATCGTAAAGTCGTGGGATTTTCGTAACTTTCGTACCTGGTTCATCGGTGATCCGTTGGAAAGCCAGGCATACCATCAACTCCCTGGCTTTCGTGGACGTTGGTTCCCCGGGCAGTGGCATGTCTCGGCCCTTGGACGGTCACTGGGACAGGTCCAGCGCGGTGCCGGCACCATCTCCAACTGGTCAGATATCTCATAGATGTCCCATGATATCCCATGATATTTATGGTGTTTTAGATGGGTGGTAAAAAAAAAACATTTGGGATATTTATGGTGTCGGAGGTTGAAATATAAAAATAACTGAAAAATCAGTGGGATGATGGATATGGGGAATAAACCACCCATAGATTGGGTATGATCATTCTGGGTAAATTATGGTTAATAAGGGAAATCATCCCCAAATGGCCTTAATTCAGGTTGGTGTGAAATATTATCATTTACCCAGATCATTGATGATCATCATCTCATTAAAAAATGCTATCGATGTGTGGGAGAAAAAAAACCTGTTGGTATAGTTGTTGATGTCATTGAGTTCATCACGTTCACACCAAATGACATCAATGGCTGGGAAAAAGGCGCCAACCATCCTGGCGACGATGGAAAAAAAAGGGGGCTACTCACCCAACTGTTCTCCCCGGTGTGATCCTCTTTTGCCACCATCTTTAGGATTTTGAGTTGTGAAGTGTACCCTCTGGTAATTTAACATAGCCATGGAAAAACACAATTTTTAATGGGAAAATCCACTATAAATGGCCATTTTCCATGGCTATGTTGAATAGCCAGAGGGTATTGATGAATGGTTTTGTTGGTGGTCCAGCGTTCATTTCTTCATTCCCTATTTGTGGTTTGAAAAAAAACCTTTGTGCACACAGGGACGCCGTCCAAGAATCGATTTTAGACACAATAAACCACACGACACCTACACAGTGGAGTGAAAGACTTTGGTTTTGATGTGTAGTGATGCTGAAGCGGATAGTTTTTCCCATATTTCAAGGCTGGGATGAGTTCTCAGCCTGGGGATAGTCACAATTCTGTTGTACAGTATCATGTTCTATCTATATACTTCACAATTGATATCCCGCCATCCCAAGACTGAGGATAACTGTCTCAAATTCCATGTGCCCTAGGACGGGTGAGAAGTTCAGAAACTTCCCTTCAAATCAACCCTGTGACTTGTGGAATATGAGGTTTCAAGAGCCCTCAAGCCTTCACTTTCCAGTGCCTTGGTCTGCGTTTTGAAGCAGAGAGAAACCACTGGATGTGCTCGTTGGGGAAGAAACAACAATTACGCATACGTTACGCCTGGTAAAAGGATTCAGCTAGACTGCCAGACTATGCCAGACTGAGTTTGGATTGTTTGATCATTATTCTTTGATCTCATCAATTTTTGAATCAAGTAATCAATGTTTGGATCCTCATTGATCTACCAGAGTTCAATCCTCCGCTGTTACATTTGCGTGGGTCGAAACCAAAGGCCATGCTACAGTTCGGTCAGTCTAGTACTATAGATTACTATTACTATATACTATTACTCTATACTATTATTATAGATTACTATAGCTATTACTATAGCTATTACTATAGCTATTACTATAGCTATTACTATAGATTACTATAGCTATTACTATAGCTATTACTATAGATTACTATAGCTATTACTATAGCTATTACTATAGCTACTACTATAGCTATTACTTTAGATTACTATAGCCATTACTATAGCTATTACTATAGATTACTATAGCTGTTACTATAGCTATTACTATAGCTATTACTATAGCTATTACTATAGCTATTACTATAGATTACTATAGCTATTACTATAGATTACTATAGCTATTGCTATAGCTATTATTATAGCTATTACTATAGCTATGTAGTACGTAGTTTTGACCCATACCCACAAGTAGACCTGCTTAATCTTGCGTTGCTCAGATCTCCTGAAGAGCAACTGGATGTTCCATGATTTGGTCGTGGTTCAATCATTGACTTTCCCCCTCAAATGTGGTTCACAGTTTTTTTTTCTGTATTATTGTAGTGGAGACTCCGCATTTCTAATATTTTCTAATCATTGGGTCAATTTCTATCCCATTTTTTGAGTCTCCAAGCTGAATTGGGTATATCTCTGTAGGCTGCCAAGAGGCTTTTCAATCAATGGCTTTTCAATCAATCCCAGTGACAGGTTGATCATTTTTGTCTCCAGGATGTCCGTGAAATCTCCCGATCCAAAGGGGATCGCCCCAGCAACTGTCAGCAACTGTCAGCAACTCATCCAGGTATTATTTGATGATCACCCCAGTGACCCGAAAAACGGCGGTGCCTTGTGCTGAAGTGCGGGAGAAATGGGGGAGTTGTAGGCTTACAACATCTTACAAGTGAAGCTTTTTGTTGGCAGAGTTTTGAATGTCTCAGTCAATTGATCGTTCTAAGTTTAAGGTGCTTTCTTGACATGTTGTCGTTCAAAATGGAATGACATGGATCTATGATTCACTCGGACGATCTGAACCACGGTGCCACAGTGCGGCATCCTGTCATAAGAAGCCGCCCGAAATTTTCGACGATGAGTAGTGGTGATAGTCCATGTTGGGTATCAATGATACTCAATGGGAGGATAAACGAGTTAATTCCAGAAAACATCATCTCAATTTTACCGTTAATGGGTTGGATAAACCATGATAAACCATCCACAGCTTGCGTAAACTATCCCCATCTATCCCCTATTAGTGGAGGTTTATAGCTGGCTTTATCACATTCGTAGGTGCGATGAGATTTTGTATATCATCTATGAGGGAAACACTCTTCAAACACCGGCACGGCTTCAGATCCAGTTTGTGACAAAAGTACTTGTGGCAAGCCGTAAAATTCAGATCAAGACAGATCAACGATAGATATAAATTTCCCATATATTTTATAAACATGTTCCATAATTAGTTCTATTTTTATTTTTTAAAACATACCTATATATATATGTTTTTAATGTCTTCATCATCAACTTTCCCATGTTAAGTTCACCTTGGGGAAAACTTCCCCCTTTGTTTTCCCGGCAACCCGGCTGAGGCGGCCGATGACTACGGCTACCGTTTTTCGGCGAGTTCCTTCGTGACCAACGAACTCATTGGCCCCGCGGTCTTCTTTCGGATGGAGATCGATCCCATTCGGGTCACGAACTACACCGAGACGGTGCCAAAAACCGTTTCGGCCATCGGCCCA